CTTTCTTAAGCATGCTTTATATTGGGGTAGGAGGAGTGACCGAACCTTGACCTATTTAGATGGTTAACTTAACGGAAATAATATGTAGGAATGGGAGGGGAGAAAAGAAAAGGAAAAGAGAGAGGAGACAGACGACAGTAATACAGATATATCCAAATGAGTGTTACGGCAAAGAGAGAGGGGGAGAGGGAAGTGAATCGAAAGAGGCTGTAATTTTGTTTTAACAAATTTATGTAAAAGATAGATTTTAATGCTTGATAGAAATTTAGATGTCTAAAAAATGATGAATGTTATCAATTTAAATATTCAATTTTTTAAGTAAATAGTTTAGGGACTTAATATAAGTTAACTACTAATATTATTAGCATATTTATCGAGAACATATTAAAGAAATATTTAAAATTATAATAGTTTATTTACCCGACCAAATATTATTTCCATAATATATTAAGAAAATTACGGTAACAATAACAGCTATATTATTTTTAATTTTAATCTAATGTATGAATGCAATTTTTATTCATTATTATATGGGTAAACTTAATTAAGGTTTAGGCTTCATTATTTAATAATATTTGAGGGTAATATTAAAGATTTTGTTTTCTTATATGTATCTCACAAACATATTCATGCAAATCCATATATACATACGTTTATTAACATGTGCAAATACACATACGTGTATTCGTGTGCATATATTTATATATATATATATATATATATATATATATATATATATATATGGACATAATATTACATTTAAATAAATGAATGTATTAAAAGTTATCTTTATGTATTGCGATAAATTGAAACAGTAAAAAATGTGTTTATCTCCCTTAGATTTAGTTATTTAGTTAGTTACTTAGTCAGAAGGAACGAAAGAAAAAGACTAAGATATATAATAATAATAATGATGCTAATAATTATAGCAGCTAGCCACTCATATTCGAGGATACCCGTCTACTAGGGTGTCTAACCAGTCCCTATTTCAGACGCCCGCATTGGCACATTTGGGTGTGTTCAACACCCACAGAGCCCACCTGTGTTTTATATTGCAATATGCTGAGCAGACTTACAGTTTTTAGGATAGAAGCGTGTTATCTAGCGTAATCAACAATCTGAACAAGGCCAGCTCGCTCAAATCCTCGTTCACGATGATATGTGAATTCGTGCTAGCACTGCCGTCGACGGCCCCTAAAGGTTGTGTCTACCCAATTTCACTCACAAGGCTTGGGTCAACCCATGGTATGATTTTTAGACAATTTCAGACCGTTAGCCCTTAGAAGTTACCTTCCTGACAAATCGACGATGCTGAGATTCGAACTCGGCTTTCATATTCAAAAAGCGAATGTTCTAACCACACAGCATACATACATACATACATACATACATACATACATACATACATACATACATACATACATACATACATACATATTGTGTTTGTACTGTGTGTGCGCACAAGCGTTTTACAATATCCATGAAACCCGATATATATCGACACCCGTGCCAAAATAAAAGCTCGAGTCAATTCTCCTTTTATTATTTATTGTATAAATGAAACAACGATTCTCTACGTCAAACTTTCGCTCTTTGCTATTCTTAAATGAAAATTCCACCCCAGAAACAACTGATCCTCTCCGTGAAAGAAAACACGCTGTCAATACGCTGAACTATAAAAAAAAAAAGATAACAGAACGTTAAAAGCTTTTTCTTTTCCTTTTTTTTTAAATATTATCTTACTTTATTTAATATTACATTTTTTTCTCTCTCTCTCCTTTCCATAGTTATTAATGGAGTGCATATTTTTCCCGGTTAAATCTTTTCTGGGCTCCATTTGTGAAAAGAAATCGTCTTTGACGACGTTCAGTTCACTGATATCGAAGCGTAATGCGATTTCCATCTGTCAGAACCTTACTTTTTGATATTTCTCCTTCTTGAGTGTCTATTTTCGAAAATAAAATTTTATATATATATATATATATATATATATATATATATATATATATATATATATATAAATAAAATGATTCCTTGCATCTTTTTAGACTTGCTTTCTCCCTAGCTCGGTATCGATGCAAAATATCGCTGTAATTTCATATATTTTACAAGCGGGCAAAAGAGAAAATTGTATACAATCGACCTGAAATATTTTTGTCGGTGTCCTGAAAATGCAACCAAAATTAATTGAATATTGAAACTATTCATATTTAGTCGGGGGGGGGAGGTTCTTGATTATCGTGGCAGACTAGTCGCACATTTCTTCTTTTGTGTGTACTCTGTTCCTGATCCGATGCATATTAGTGTGACGTAATATTTCACCTGGTTGATTATTACAACTGAGTAGGAATTACGATACCCCGTGTGTGTTCCGTCCGTGCAAAAATTGACATTAAACAATTGAACAATGATTGATATATTACAAAATCATTCAATCCACCTTAACTTACCTCCCGATGAATACCCACTTATTTTGGTTTATGGCGGCATCACGAATCATAAACGAATATTTTTAAGGTAATGGTTAGCAAATTTGCTTGTCAAACAGTTAATGATGTGGACTAATCTCGATCTACATTGAGAGCCAAAAATTGTCTCCTTTTTACCAGATTACCATAAAGTTAGTAATTATCTACAGGATCGCATATCTTGGTTAACTTGCCGTAGGTAATGTTTTTAACAGGCTTTTACGACGGTGTTTTGAGTTCGAATCTCATTGGGTACCCGATTGTGATTTAAGTTGCATTATAAAAACTACAGTATATAATATTGTATTATTCTAAATAATATTGTATTATTATTGTATATAATAGTGTATTATTATAATGTACAATAATAATATTATTATAATGTACAATGATATTGTATTATTCTAATGTATAGTATTGTAAATAATATTGTATTCTTATTGTAAATAATGGTGTATTATTATAATGCATAATAATAATACTATTATAATCTACAATGATATTGCATCATTCTATGTTGTATTGTAAATGATATTGAATTATTATAGTAAATAATATTGTATCATTTTTAATGTATAGTATTATAAATTATATTGTATCATTATTGTAAATAAGATTGTATTATTATAATGTACAATAATAATATTAATATGATGTACAATAATATTATATTATTATAATGTATAGTATTGCAAATAATATTGTATTATTATTCTAAATTATATTGTAGTATTATAATTGTTGAGGGGTTCTCCCCCTTTTTTACACAAATGGACTCACCCAGTATATACATATACTACGGCTACGGTAAGACGAGAGCAAGACCGAGGAGTCGAGTCGAGATTGAGAGAGTGAAAGGTTGTAGGTAACCGGAAGAGTGAGGGGTGAGGTAACAGTGTTGTAGGAGTCACAGTGAGCAAGCACGTAGACTCAGTAAGAAGTCATACAGCGATACTTCAATACCAAAGAGTGTATAGATATTTTGCTACTAGCCCGTATTCCTGGAACTACTAACCTGCTTTACCAGTTTCCGATACGTTAATATATTATTTTCATATATTCATTCCTGGCGTTTGTTATTTATTGGTATCGGATTTCAAACGGAATCCACAACAATAATGAACAATAATATTATTATTATTCACAATAATATTGTATTATTATAATTTATAGTATTGTAAATAATATTGTATCATTATAATGTATATTATTGTAATTTATATTTTATTATTATTGTAAATAATATTGTATTATTATAATGTACACTAATAACATTATTATAATGTACAATAATAATATTATTATAATGTACAGTAATATTTTATGGTATTATAATGTACAGTAATATTTTATAGTATTATAATATACAGTATTGTAAATAATATTGTATCATTATAATGGTTATATCATTGAACATTGATATCTGCTAATTGTTAATTTGTTTCTATCACAGATCATTAAAGCTACATCTTGTTCGATCTTAAATGGCACCCTATATGTTTGATTCCATGCAGGAGTAAGCTGATCTAAGTGCCATCAGAACTCCCAGGCCTGGGTTGAGGGTTAACGAGCCAGACTACAATGATAGCAATATAGACTAAGTTTAAATCTCATGGGCTTGTTCTGCCACCTATTATATTTCAGAATCTTGTAGGCACGCGTTTATTTCGTAAGATAATGGGGGAACCCTGTTTGATCAAAATTCAGTTCTTTGCTGCTGAGACTGATGCAAACTCTCCACGGCGTAGGTATATGGAAGGAGTGAAGTGCACAATCTACATGCCACCATCTCTTAGCCGTACCGTCAAGATTCAAAGGAATCCAGGTCTTTACTTTTAGGGACGGTTTGGATAAAAGAGTTGCCTGACCTGTCGATTTTTGTTACTCCAGATTGAAGCATACGGCTGTAGCAACGCTTTGAACAGATTCTACTTCTTGTCACATCTGATTACTTTGCAGAATCAAGACTAAAATACTTAGCATAGCCAAGGTAAGAAAGTGGAGTATAAGAATTAAGAATGTGGTGTGTGATTCTATAACCGGAACCAGCCACAAATAACTATTTACACCTCTATATATATCTATCTATCTATCTATCTCACTCTCTCTCTCTCTCTCTCTCTCTCTCTCTCTCTATCTATCTATCTATCTATCTATCTATATCTATCTATCTATCTATCGCCATTGTTTTATGCCTAATATTCCTTCAGAGCGATTATGGATGTCCACAAACTCTTCAATACATCTTAGTCCTTTACAAAGCCTTTTCTTTTTCTTTTTCCAGACCTGGAAACGGACATTCTTTGCCATCTGTCCCATTATACGGGGCCCATCCTATGTGCCGGTCCCTTCCGTCGGTACCAACAAGATCTGAAGGAATACAGAGCATTGACTATGGGGACAGCTTAGAAGTTACTGGAAAGCTGTCCGGGTTGATAGCAAACCGTCTTCGGGGGTTTGCACTCCGGTTTTTAGTCTGGATTTATTCACATAATTACTTCCGTGTTTAACTGGATGTAACGGCGAAGCAGCGAAGGTATAAAATGAAGGTTTTCTTCCCTTAGATGGACTGTCTTCAAAAGCTGTCGAGCTCCATCTACTTGAAGCAGCTGGTAATGAGGCGCCAGTTTTCCACTTTCGCCCCGTTACCCGCTTCTTTTCGTCATTCCCACATCAAACAAGAATTTTCTAAATACATAGCAACAGTATTCAATGCATAGATGAATATACCAGAAAATATTAATTTTGCAGTTCTTAATATTTTATGCCTGTTATCTTGTATTGTTAGTGGTTTCACTTTAGTATTTGATATGTCCCGGAAAGGGATATATTCGTTCGAAGTAGCAAAGTGGTTTTGGACTACTGTAACCGAGTAGGACAATCTAGCAGGTAACCGTAATGGACTGGTCCTCGTCTTAGTGGTAGGCAATAGGCGAAGACAATAGGCGTCTTATTGTACCTCCATATCAGTCTGTATTTATGGCTGACATCAGCAAATCATATTACTGTGAAGGGGAACCCAGGTGTATGCATATTCATTACATTAGTAATTAAGGAGACGTTAATTACAAGTATTTACAGGGAATCGTTATTGAGCGATTTTTACGCGAAATAAATCCGGAAAATAACCAGAAATATTCGGTCAGCGCGCATTCTTTTTCCTAGTTTTAACTTTCTTTTCATGAAAATTTCATTAGAAACAAAGAAAATAGTATTGAACTGTGATGTAATATAATTCCTTCTATATGGTAGTGATTACAGGACAATCTTTTCACAGATACAGAGGAGACTTCAAGCAACAAAAAATGGTTCTACAGAAAGATGCTGAGAATACTATGAATCGGGTATGTGATCAACGACTATGTTTTAGATAAAATAGAAATAAAAAGAACACTTATACTTAACGCCACTAAGAAACACATTGGAATGATAAGGCACATAATGAGGAAATCAGGTTTAGAAAATTTGATACTCCCAAGACAGAGTGAAGGCAAAAGGGACAAAGGAAAACAACTTATTTAGCGATATTTAATAAATGGCTGGAGGAACAGCATTCAGTGCAGAAGTGAAAACAGTTATCAAGAGGTAAAACATTTATCAACATTTATAAAAGAGAAGAAATTAAGGAAAGCAATGATCGCCAAAGTCCGGAGAAAGCAAACAGACGAAAAAGCGTATCACCAGCCGAAGAAAAGTTTTACTTTCACTTTCACTTTTATACTTTCTGACTAATAAGAATACTTGTAATGAGCACAAAACTTTGCATAACGAAATTAATACATCGACTCAGTAGGCGGACGAGATAAGTCATTCTGAAATTGATGACCTTGTCTATGTTAGGATAATACGCAAAGGCGACTTACGGTTTTAAATTCAGAGTTATCCTTCTTCCAGTGTGGTTGCTAATCACGTCTAGAGAGCCTAGTGTAGATAATTAAGAGTTAGCTGATAGAAGTGATTGATTTATACCTTTCCTAAGGATATTTGCGCAGAATTAATTGTAATGACAACGATCCGCCGATTTTTCGTTCCGAGTTGCTCAATTAATAAAATTATTGTCAGTAGATGTTAAACTTTGCTTAATATATGTGCATATGTACACGGGTAAGAGGAGCTAGCAAGCGTTAAGCGAACACGCGTCAAATGCCAAAGCTTGGTGTAAAGCTAACAAGAATTGACTGAAAGAAAAAGAAACCGAAAAATAAATACACTAAAAATGACATTATATATATATATATATATATATATATATATATATATAAATATATATAATATATATAACTAGACTCGTTTCGAAAAACCCTCGAATTTTGATTTGCTAATCAAATCAATCTCGAGGAAAAAAAGGTTTTAAAAAAGAAAGAGCTACAAACATGAACTTCTGCCGACAAAAAAATCGCACAGATGCAGGTCTGAAGCCCAAAGAAAAAAAAAACCCCAATACGAGTAACTTTCCCTGACGATCCGTTTAGGTGAAACCTAGGTAGGTTTGTCTGGCTCACTAGGTGTATCTATATATATATATATATATATATATATATATATATATATATATATATATATGTGTGTATTTAAGCATTTCACCCCAAGCAAGGCAGGATGCCACTAGCACGCAAGGTGTTACAGAGTAGAAGCGAGAGTTGTTAACCATGTTCCCCATAGTCTATGAATATAGAATACAGCGCAGTACGTAATCTGTTCAATGAAACAAGGTTAAAGATTAATACTCACGAGCCAGACACTCTACTGAATCTGACTATATCGCCAATACCACCAGAAGCTGTTCCGTAATTCTTCAGTCTTCGATATCAAAAGCTGACAGTGCATATTCGGGAAAAACATGGCCGCCTTTATACACGTCGCATTGAATATTTTGAGCCTTCTGATTGGTTAACCCTTCTATTGGTGACTTATAAAATGAGTCAGCTCATTTTTGCTGGCACACTAGTGCACAAGGGTACCCAAAAATTCCAACAAGAGTAAAGAGGCATGATGAAGGAAAGGATAAATAGAAGGACAGGAAAAAGGTCAA